TCTCGGCCCAGAGAACCAACCCAACCCTAAAGGTCGGCCACACTTGACTCCTGCAATTTTCTCTTAATTCCAGAGGCTCAAAGTTAGCAATAAAAGCATCAGTGATGCTGGTGTCTTCTGAGCAGGCCAGCTGCTCCCGAGTGTCCCAGGGCACCCTGGATTAGGGCCTGCCTTAGCGATTCCCCTGCACGTTAAATGGCCCCTTTTACAGCTCTGTCTCCAATGTAGCTGCACATGGACATAATGGGGGTAGGAATACAGCATACAAATCTGAAGGGACACAATTCAGCCTGACGGTTTGGAAGCCAAGTGCCCTATGGGGAGACACCATAAAGAGAGCTCTGTCCATCTGCTAGGGCCAGCGCTCAGGTGTCCACTAGATGCATTCTACACAGGCCACATTGCTAGAACCCATTTGTCAGGACCCTGGATGACTACTTTAGGAAAGCCAGCTCCCTACCTGGCCACACTGAATTTAGTGTCCAACCCTGTCTCCTCTGTGAGTTGCTGGAGTGTTCAGAGTATTCTAGCATCATGAGTGGGCAGTACCCTGGAAGACAGGACAACTGGAGATTGAGGCTCCTGGGGGCTCAAGGACGCCCTAACTCAGCATCCTTGCAGGTGTCCAACCTCTGCCTCCTGCTCTGGCCACAGTAGGAGCCTAGATAACTGACCTAGGCAGCACCTGATCTCCACCGAGGAGACGGTCGATAAGGTATTTGCGGTGAGACATAGTGAACACAGCCTGACCACCCCCTCTGTGCCCTCCTTGGGGAGAAAAATGGAGAAACTCAGGGAAAAGGCTTCTGTTTCTGAAAGTTCAGGTTTATTTTATCTAAAGGACTCCCCAGTGATCTGCTTCTAGTTTGCTTTGTCTCAGTAGCAAACTGCATCTTCCCAAACTCCATATTAGAATTCTCATCCCTATGGGGAATCTTTCAGGAACAACATGTTTTTCTTTGGAGAGCAGGCTAAAAGTGAAACTTCTGTGTTCCGTAACTGTACCAGCAAGTGTCAAACGAGGTGCTTGGCAGGGAGGAGCTCACAAGCGACAAGGCCTCCAGCCCCCCTGAAAATACCACAGGGTGCCTCAGGAGAAGATGGTATGCAAGCCCCGGAAGCACCCCACCCCACATAACCAGCCTGCTTGAAATAATCTGGGCATCACAAACACATCTCCCTTTTATATCCATGCTAATAAGGATAATTTCCCAATGGGGAATGTAGGAAGGAAGTTGGATAATGCTTGAAAAGCAAATATCCACACTGCCCAAACACTGGTGCTTTACCTAAAACACATGCATTCAGCTTCCATTGCTTCTGCTATTTGGGTCTAACATGCTTGCACACTGAAGACTATTTTCATCTACCAAGAAATAAATAAATATACCCCTCACATGGGAGATACATAGGAGCCACTGGAAGTCCCAGGGGTTGGGCGGGGAGGGATGCTGTGCCCTCCTGCTCCTGCCAAGCACATCTGGAGAGAGGAATCTGGAGGCCCATCTGCATGGTCCTCGGAAGGTTTCCAAGCGCTCCAGAGAGCCTGTTAGGATTAATACTGGAATGACTGCTGCTTGGTAATCGAGAGTATGTGGAGAAGCATGTAAAGCGTTCCTGCCATAGGATGACGCTTGTTGTAGAGTTCTAATATGGACAGCTGCAGGGTGCAGAGCCTTTCAGGCCCAGCTCCAGCATCCTAGGCCCACCTCCTCCCTCAGCTTGATCACCTTGGATGGGAGGGCTGACCCCTGGCCCCGGGAGCCATCCCACACTGCACAGCTCTGGAGTTTACACACTTGTGCCTTCTTCTTCCCTTCAAACTTTCATTTACACTTCAGGTTTGTTCTCCGGAGAGTGATGCAGAATCAATCACTTCCTGCTTCTTTCAGACATCCTTTGTAGATGTCTCTCCTGCTTTCCTTCCATGTCTCTGAGCCAAACGTCTGCCTCCCTTCCCCACTCTCTCCAGCAGAAGATTCCTCATTTGGCATCCTGCTGTTCTCCCTCCTTTGAAGTTTCTCTAGAAAGTTAGGGCCTTGTATGTGAGGTGCCCATCACTTCTACCCACGTTTCATCAGCCACGTGTACAAGCCACACCGAACTCATTTGGGTGCCACATGTAGGTAATGTGTGTGCTGAGTGGGGAGAGGTGGGAGTCTTTCCTCCTTGAGCTTGGTTTCCAGTGAATGGACTTTGGGAAGTGACTGGATTGGGAGGGCTCTAACCTCATCAGTGGGCTCATTCATTGATGAATTCAGAGCTCCATGGACTTCCTGGGAAGTGCCCTAATTGAATAAGGTGAGCGCTGGGGGCAGCTGTTTCTGTGTTTCCTGGATGCTACAAGGGGGATAGGTGTGTTTGGCCATGCCCTTCTGCCATGATTTTTTTTGCCTTGATGTAGGTCTAAAGCATTGGAGCCAGCCAACCTTGCACTGGAAGCTCTGAAACTGTGACCCCAAATAAATCTTTAAGTTTTTCTCAGATATTTTGTCACAGCAATGAAAACTTAACATTCTAGGGAAACTCAGGAAGCTGGTACACATTCTATCCGTGCTTCCAACCTAAGACAGGCTGCAGTTATAGAGTACAGTTGGGAGGTGCTGAAAAGATTATCTCAGTACTGTGCTTAGGGTTATATTCTGATCCTCAACGAAAATATTAACCTTAAAACAGTGTGGGGTTTTTCACTTTCAGATCCAGAAAAGGAATATGAAACCCAGTTGCATTAGTCAGCTTTGCTGCATAACAAGTTAGCCCCCACTGAAATCTTACTGGCTTAAAATAATAACAAACATTACTTCACCGTTTCAGTGGACCAGGGTTTGGGGACAGACCGGCTGGGCCATTTAGCCTGGGACCTCTTGTGAGTCTCCAGTCATTGCATCAGCTGGGCACTGTCTTCTGACAGCTAGAGAAGCCAATCCAAGCCAATCCCAAGAAATTTCATTCACAGGGCTGCTGAGTTAGTGCCAGGGTGTCTGAGTCATGTGACTAAGCCATTAATGAAAGAACAGGCTCCAAGGAGAAGTTAATTTTATTTATCACAGCTCTTCTCTGCAAAAGGATTCCTTTTGTTCCAAAGAGCTCCCTGTTAAGCCTGAAGAGTGGGAAAGGAGTGTGCTTGAGAACAAAGGGAAACCAGTCCTGCAAGAAAGCGCTATCCACCCCGGGCTGTATCTCCTCCTCATCATTCCACTTCCAAATATTTAATAGGCTGGTCCAAGACAAAGAATGTCAGGAATTTTGCAGACTGCAGAGGTGGCCCTGTTGTGAGGAGGAAGCAGCAACCACCAAGAACGCATGGCTCCCAAGCGCAAAGGGGCTGCGAGATTAGAAGACCCAGGAGACGTGGGTGGGGGGAGCCCTGGACCTTCCCACACATAGAACAGCTGCGTCCACATGGATTTTGGGAAGCTCTTCAAGGTGAAAGGGACCCTGGGGTGACACACCACATACACACCGCAAACATGCCGTGGCTGTCAGGGTCTGTCCACCCGAGTAACTCCCCACACCTTCTCCCTGCACCAACACTCAGCACTGACACTTGACAAGGTGAAGGAAGGGGCTCTATGTCCACAGGCAGCAGGTCAAGCAGCACGAACAGGTTGTCCTAGCAGGCAACTGCAATCACTCTTCCATTGGACCAAAACTTGGGGCTCCAGTCTCTAGGAACAACAGCAGTCCACAGCTGTGGGCATTTCATCCTTGCTTAAGCCTCTGGCCAGTGAGCCATGTTTCCAAAAGCCCTGATCAGCAGTTTTCTCTTCTCTCCTACAAGTTTATTCCCACCCACACACGAACTTGGTCTTGAATGTCCGCTTAACAAACAAAGAAAACTGTTGCCCACACAACCCCTCCTGCTTCTATCATTTCTTCTCTCATTCACACACAGCCTCCTGAAAATTGGTTTTAGCTGGCACAGCAACAGGCTTGGGGCTCCTCTACCTGACTTCGGCCCCCGCATTCCACGTGAAGGACTGTCAAGATCCACAGTGACTGGTGGGAGCCCGGTGCTAATGGCCACTCCAGTTCTTATCTGAGCTGATCCCTTCCTAGAGAATGATTAACCCTCTTTCCCTTCTTACCTAGCTCTGGGCTGCTGCTTTTCTTACTCCCTTCCTACAGGTCTTTCCTCTGGATCCCTCGCTGCCAGAATAACTGGGATAGTCCTGGGAGCTTTCTCTTCCTTTTCCCCGACGCTGAACTCCTGTCTCATCTAAACAGCGCTGACTCCCAACTTTGCAGCCTGATCTACTTGGTATCTCCACTTAGATGCTTAGTGGGAAAATTAAAGATGAATTCCTTTCTATGGGTTTTGCTCTCTGCCCCCATTTCTGTAATGGATCCCCCCCCACTCACCCTAAGAGAAGACAATTAACCCCATCAATTTGGCTGGGGGAAAAAACTGCCCCAGGGCTTTTTCAGTAAGGGTAGACTCTATGAAGTTGTACAGTACTAAAAATTAGAAAAAAAAGATGGAGAATAAATAAAAGTAGCAGTCTTTGGGATACATGAAATCAAATTACAGTGTCTGACACCGCTAATTCTGATTCCAGCTGTACAAATTCCCAGCTTGTGCAAAGTAACAAACAGAAAGTGTTTTCAGAAACTACAGAGATATTACATAACTGAGACATGATTCTGAGATTCCAAATAGACGCCTCGGCCTGCCTTCCCCATAGTCTGCATTTGTGGTTCATTGTAGACACTGCACCCATAACCTGGTTTTCAAGTAAAAAGTGCAGATTAGGTGAATCAGATGCTAAAGCATAACTTCTAGGAAATTTTGTATTTTTACCATGTAGTACCACGTACATGAAAAAAAACAAAAAAACTTGTTACCTTCTGTCTTCCAAAAATGAACAACAAAAAAATTGGGGGGAGGAACCTCAAAAAGTTCAATTGCCCAACTAACCCAAAAACTTTACACTCTGCCTTTAATGCCACAATGCAGGATACTCTGTGAGCAGAAATAACATTTGCACACAGAGCCAAGACATGTTTGAAACCTTTTATTAAACAGGCGATGCATTGTGCAAAGGTTGAGGACACAGACGCTGAGTGGAAAAGTTTAAAAATTATTTTTGGAAACAGTCTATGGATGGATGAACCCTGCCACGTTCCTTCCTCTCCTCCTCAAGAGTGGCTCTCTTCAGGAAACCTGATTGTCGTCGTATAGCTGCTCTAGAAAATGCATCCCTGTTTTATCACAAATGTCATGCCTAGTGGTAAACACAGAAGGAGAAGACAGGCAAGACAGTGGTCAGGTGCAGGCTGATCTTCAGCAGAAGCACAAATGTGGGCACTCCTGGGATGGCTTCGGTTTGGGTCTTTTGGGGTGTCTGATTTATAAATCCACATTTCACTTCCATTTTTCGGCTCTGTCTGGGGCTTCTTTTCACAGGGAGTTCTAACAGGCTTGCATTCATGCCCCTGGGCATGGGAACTCTTTCCTGAATTTTTTTTCTGGTGTGGTTTTTGTTGGGGCCCCTCTGGTCCAGGGTTATGGCTGTTTGTTCTCTCCGCTTCACTTGGTTCCTTCCTCTTCCCGAGCTTGTCATAACTGGGTGATAAAATCAATCTTAAGTCGCACAGTCTGTTTGCCATGATTTATTGGCAGTTTTTAACTAAGTGGCCTGTCAAGGGAGCACACATTCTTCATCAGCGTGCTGCCAGCCTACTTTATGATCTGGGGCATGTCGCTCCAAGCTTGAGATTTCTTCCTGGCGAGTTCCATCCAGGAGGGCTGCTCTGCACTGGCGTAGCTGGCTCTCTTCAGCTGGTGCAACTCCTTCTCCGTCATCGCCACAGCCTGAGCTGCTGCAGGGGGACAAGCAGAAACAGGAGACAGGAGTGTGGATGTTCACATCAGCTTCCTGCACTTCCCTAAATATGGGCCAAGCTCTTAACTGGGTTCCCCAACAGAAACTTCAGCAGTGTGGAAATGTGTCAAAAACAGTCAGGCAGACAACGTGTAAGTTATGTGGCAAAAAGGGTTAGGAGCAGCTTAAACAGTTCTGGCAGTGCCTAGAGTAAGAAATAAAGTGGAATTGCAGGCATGCAGGGAGTGGGTCAGCAAGTGAATGAACTTAATGTTACCCCACTGTCCACTTAAAATGGATAGAAAGGTGAATGCCTTGTTGTGTACCTTTTTCCCTAGTGAAAAATAAATAAAATTCAAGAAATACAAGGGCTGGGAAGTAGCCTGTTAGAAGATCAGACGGGTAGATCCTCGAACCCTGAGTTCAGTCCCCAGTAACAAAAGCAAAACAAAACAAGAAAGGAACTGGGGATGTTGGCAGGTCTAAGACTTGGTTCAATATCCAGCACATTATAAAAAAAATACTGATATAACTAACCAACAAGAAATAGACCTTAAAAGTACTGCGCTCAGCAAAAGAAGTTAGATATATGAGAACAGATACTTTGTGATTTCATTTATAAGAAATGTTCCCCAAATACAAATCTACAGAGACAGAAAGTACATTAGGGGCTGCCTGGATCTAGGAGGAGGATGGGGGATTGATGTTAAGTGGCTGTGAGGTTTCTTTTAAGTGTGAGGGGAATGTTCTATGCTTAGGCTGTACACTCTGTAGATAAGACATGCATCAGGTGGGCTGTATGGTGTGTGAATTACGTCTGGATAAACACGGGAAAAACTCCACATGGCAAGTAATTCAACAAAACAGCAGCAAACAACAAAACCTCCAAACAACAACAAAAGAACCAGGTGTGGTGGCACACACCTGTAATCCTAGCACTTGGGAGGCCGAGGCAGCAGAACTACGATGAATTTCAGGCCACCCTGGTCTACATAACGAGTTCAAGGCCAGCCTGTACTGCATAGTGAGACCCTGTCCCAACAAAACAAAACAAACAAAGCAAAACCAGACTGCAGGAACCACCCAGAACCATGAGTCCACAGTGCTTGGGAACACAGGCCCATCTCATACCCAGGTTCTGATGGGACAGGGAGATTCCCCTCTGCAGCCCCTCCTTGAGGCTCAGCTTAGCGCCCTGCTTCTGGGTCACCATGGGCTTAGCAGGGGTCATCAGAAAAGATTTGCTGCGGACAAAGTCAACCTGTTTCACAGGCTCCTGTGGGGACACAAGAAAGACACACACTGTCAGTCACAGAGACTTGGAGAGAGACAGACACAAGGCAGGTGCAGGAGTCACAAGAGGCCTCTCCCAAGGTGCACCAAGCTGGCGGTGCTCCCTGGGTGAGCTCAGGTGTGGCCCTCCCTGACATCCAGCAGCAGAATGCTGGCGCTCTGACCATGCTCAGCCTGATCCTGGCCCATATATGTATCGTGGCTTCCCTGTCCCCCCAATATGGCCTTCATCCCAGATGCTGGATGCAGGGATTCCAGGTGCCAGTCAAATGAGCTAGGTTTGGAAATGGTTTCGTGACTTTTATGACACTTGGCATAACCATGCATGCTCCGCGTGGGTTAACGCTTCCTTTACAAATCCCCCAGCTTGCGTGCCCGTCTTCGGGCGTGGGTGTAAAAGAAGGGAAACGGGCAGACTCAGGCTTTCCTGACAGGGCTGAAACACACTTATGGATTCACCACCTTATTACCCTGGCTACTGAGGGGACCCCAAAGCTGGAGATCTGCTTGCTTCTAGCACTATGTGTTGGTGAAAGCTATTTACAGTACAGAAGGCAGAAAGAAACCCCAGGCTCCTGCCATGCATCCCCAAGGAGGAACGAGAAGCCCAGTAGGGGCTTGCGCGGGCTCCCCAATCACCACACAGTGAGCTGAGAGGGAGCTGCAGACACAGTTGCTATGTGTCTGAGGGGGAATTTATTTTAACCTCATCCAACTTCTCCAGATGCTGACTATGTTGCCTAGGAGGCAAGGAGCAGAGCGTGGTCTCCACTGCCTAAGTGATTCTGGCTTCTCTGTGTCCCTAACCAGCCCAGTGCATGCAAAGAGCAGGCAGACGGCCCCAGCCACGGAGCCCATCATTCAGCACGAAATTGTTTTTGTTTCATTGAGCTCAGCCACGCTCAGCAGCCACCATAGGTGCTGGTGTCTGAGCTGCCCATGGGGGACACGCGATCATCACACCAGTCCCAGTCCAGGCCTGGTCAGCTTCCCACCCCTACTGCCCCCTGAACCGCAGGAACAGAAAGGCTCTGCTCTTAGCACCTGGGCTCTCTCGGGCACCTTGGCCTGCTTCCCTGTTTCCGACTTCAGGGTCCGCGTTCCTGGCTTGTCTTCCTGACTTGGTAGCTGGTCGGGGGCCCCTCGTCGCTTCTGGCGGGCCATGGTGATCCAGGGTGGCGTGGGCTGCCCGTCAGCTGCTGGACCTGGTGCTGCCTCAGGTGGATCCTTCTCTGTGGGTAAAGGCACGAGGTTATGCAAGTCAGCCCTGCTCCTGCAGCTCACCCTTTCTTCCTCCCCTACACAATACGGTATCACTTTGGCTCACGGTGGCAGGGCTCAGGGACAGCAGTCCGGGTGCCCTTTGCAGTGAGACTATTGCTTTTCTTTTTTGGCGGGGGGAGGGGAGTGAGTAGCAGAGATGAAACTCATGACTTTGCACTTGCCAGGCAGGCATGCTACTGAGCTATATCCCCTACCCAAACCACGGCTTTTCTTTAAGAGATTTTTTTTTTTTTCTTTCTGAAGATGCATCAAAGGATTGACTATGTGCCTCCTGTCTGAACCACAAAAGTTGAAATGCAACAGCCTGTCTAAAGTCAACATGCATTTTTAAGCTAACTTCCTCCCAGGGAGCCCTTTCTGGAAGTGGCTAAAAATACACACACAAATAGGTAACAGTTCTGTATTAGGGCCCTGTCATTTGGGACCAACACACTTCCCAATTCCTGACTTGCTCGTATGCTGAAGACATCATTGTCACCTTGTCACCTAACAAGGGCAAGCACGACCTCTCTGAGGAGCATGGCACTGTTTACAACCTCATTTTATGCTTTAGTCCTCATCCAGAGAACCTAGAAACTGCCTGGCACACAGTAGGTGCCTGGTGGCTGTGTTTAATGTAGTCTGTATTTCTCATCTCTCGCTCTGTCCGGGAGAATTTTATAGTGTCCTCATGGCCTCAGTCATTTTTCCTTAAAAAGCAAACTTTTCTTGTCCTTTGATTATTACCTCAAACCCCGACCAATCACACCCTCTGAACTTAATCACCTTGGCCGAGAACATATTCTGGGCAATTCTGTCAAGGCTAAGTGTACAGGGGAGAAAATGTCCATCCCAGTTTTATTTCTCCCTGGGGCCTGGTGCATGCTAGGCAAGTGCATGCTCTGCCACTGAGCTACTGCCCATCCCCGACCCTGGTTTTCCACCATTCAGCAGAACGGTTGCTGCTGAGTGCTGAGGGAGCTCTAGTGCTTGACACTGTGCACGACGCATGGCCCTGGAGACTCCAATCCATTCCACTTGAGCCACAAGAAACACTTTAAACATCGGCAGAGAGGGATCCAGGGGGCTGCTGGACCTGGCCCCAGGCTGACAGACACCTCGGGAGACTGAGGCAGTCACTGTCTCTTCCAGCTCTCAAGGGAAATGCAATCTTGTAAACAAGGAGGAGGTGGAACTCAGTAAAAAGGTAATGTTTCTTCTAGCAAGAGCGGCTGTACTATGCATGTGTGCATGTGTGCATGTGTGTGTGTGTGTGTGTGCGTGTACACGTGTATGTGTGTGCATTCCTGGGTGCTCATGTTCACTCGCACAACAACAGAAGTAAGCCCTGCAGCACCACTGGGCACTGCCCGTGTATGATAAGGTGACCCCAAACAGGAGTGTCACCACCCACTGGACCAGGCAGACAGCTAAGAGCTTTCACAGCCATTTCTTTGCTTTTTTGGTCCTGCATTTCTTCCCTGTCAACCTTTCCTTGTGGTCTGCATCTGCTTCTTTCTCACCTTCTCTCTTGTCAGGAATGCAGATGGGGGAAAAGGGTCCCTGGTTCCCCCAGACTCTTTCCCAGGGACATTCTCTGGGGCCAATCTCATAGGTAGGGAGAAGCAGGAGAGGTATACAGGGGTCCAGACACCAAGAGGGAGAGGAAACCTTACACTGTTTCCTACATTGGTTCACAGAGGCCTGAGATCCCAAAAGGAGCCTCAGCATAAGTGACCCAAGAAAGAGGTGAGGGGCTTTTCTACAATGCCAAGCTTCAGAGAAGTAAGCTGCACCCCTGCCCCAGGTAGGCAGGGCCAGATCTGGGTAGTCCTGGCCTCCGTGGCCTGTGTGCGTGTCTGTGGTGATGGTACTGGACACTGAATCCAGGGCCTTTCCACTGACCTACATCCGTAGTCCTACTTTACTTTGAGACAGGGTCTCACTAAACCTGCTCAGTTGCTTGGGCTGAGCTCAAAGTGGCCAGCCTCCTCCTCAGCCTCCCAGACACCAAGGATCACAGACTTTGTGCCACTGTGCCTGCTTCTGGCAGCCTCTTTGATTCGCTCCCTTTTCTCCCGCACTTGGCACCCACATTAGGGGCAGGTGTCTTGGGGTACCATGCTACACACGACCTGTGGAGAGCTGGAGAAGAGAATGAAGACAGGCAAATAAAGGAGGTTTCCAGGGCCAGAAGTCCTCACAAAGGGACAGCTACAGAGCATAAACATTCAAGGGGAAGGTGGCTTAATCTCCTGGGGATCAGCTAACGGCAGCTGAGGTCTCAGCTTCTCTTCCCCAGATGACAAGGGATTTAAGCTGGTAAATGAGCCTCAGTTTACAACCATCAGGCCAGGAGCATTTCTCAGATCAGGGAGCAATAACTCCACGTCTCCTTTGCCACCCTCGAAGGAAAAGCAGCAAGCAGGTCTCCAGAGCACAGACGAGGAAAGCCACTTCCCGAAAGCAAACGCTGCAGACCCAGGAACCTGTTTCATTACAAAATGCAAACTGCTTTTAATCAGAGAAAACTATTACTACTTGTACTATTTAGCTATTTAAGGAGGGGATTCTGTCAAAGAATAGTCGACGCAGGCTCTCTTCTCCTAATTCCTTCCTCTTCCTTGACACTCTCCCCTACGTCAGGGATTTATTTTGAAGGCTATAAAGTGTAGGCATTGATTTCCAAGAGACCCTGTCTTTGGGCTTTTGTTCATTGGGCTGTGATAACCGGGAAGGCTTCCTTCCTGGGCCAGGGGAACAGAGCAGCTAATGAGCAGCGCTGGGCCCTCGGGGGCTGGGTTTCAGGCCTCGGGCTAGCCATGTGTTCTGGGCAAAACGAAGAAGGCCTAGAAGCTTAGTTTTAGTGCAAAATGAGGAAAACAGCAGTGTCTGTACTTCCCCATGCAACTATAAAGATCCTGCAAGACAGCCCGCCACCTCCACCCTCCAGCCTGAGTGGAGCAGACTCCATTTGCAAGTCACTCAATGGTCACCACCTCCCAGGGTTGCTACGGGACAATTGTGCTCAGTGCAGTGCCTGGCACCCTCAATTGCGGCTGCTATGATTTCATGAGTGCTGGTGCTGTGAGTTTTCCCACTTGAGGAAGCATGTGGACTCTGGTCACATCCTATGCCACCCGTGAGCCCTTGTCCCCTGGTCTGATAAGAAAACCCAGTGGGGCTAGGTTGTACTTGAGCCTCTTCACTATTCATTCCCTCAAAGGGTCCCACTCTGACAGACAGTCATGTTAGAAAGAAATTAATACACAGTCAGAGAGGGACTGGGCCCTCAGGGAAGTCAGCAGAAAAAAATACAGGCATTGGAATTGTGGGTAGATGGGCATCTGAAGGAGGCCAGGCCCAAGATAGACACAAAGCCAGGCCTATATGCCTCCCAGAGATAAACAACAACTTGAGATTATACTGTAATTAGCACCACCCCAACTAATTATATTTAAATCCAGATGGGTGTCCGATGCCCAGGTGCACAGCTGACCCAGACCCTTGCCTTCCCCAAAATGTTTCTGTTTTAAAAGCCACAGATGAGCCAAGCTTAACAATGGTGTCAGCCCTTGCTGCAGGCCTCCCTTCCCTACTGGATCAGGATTAGCGAAGTGGCTACACTTGCAATCTGATCAATAATGACAGTGTGACCCATGTTGTACCCACACTCTGTGACTTTGCTGTATAAATGACCCCTGACGAAGGACCCTGGTGGCCAACCACTCGGGAGCCCTCTTGTCTCTCTGTGGCCACCCACTCAGGAGGCCTCCTGTCTGTCAGGAGCTACCTCTCAATAAGCCTGCCTTGGTTCTTCCTTGGAATTCATTCTTCCACTTGGGGGACATGAACTTGGCCGTCTGGCATCTAGCAGGTTGTGAATTACAGCTCTCCTCCATTGTTAACAGAACGCACCTTCCTGCTGTGTACACTGATCTGCCTATAACACCACAGACTCAGTGGCCTCATCTTGTCATTTCTGCATCCACTGAGCCCAGCAGGGACCAGCAGGGACCAGCAGTGTCTCAAGAAGGCTGCCCTGTTCCCCACCAGGCATGCTGCACTGTGAGGGAGCCTGGCCTGTGGGCCCCCGTGTGCCCTGAGCCCTGTCTTTGGAACGGTGCTCTGTCCCTCTGTGCAGACACTGCATGCTACAGAGACCTTGCATGCTGTGGGTTGATGCAGTCACACAAGCACAAGACAGCAGCAGAGTTTTCATCCCTATTCCCAGACGTCCCAACCATATAGCACTCTTGATTCCCCACATACCCTGAAAACCCCTCAGGGAAAAAATCCTCAAAGTCTCCAGAGCCACATAACCGTGCTATCTGTACTTGGAAAGACCTAAAATGAGCCATTCCCCAAATCCTCAACACGAAACCACTCCTGCATGACAGAGATGCATCTATCACTCCACTCTCACTCACTGATGACTGGCGTTTTTTTCCTTTATTCTTTTGGCACCTATTAAAATTCAGCTTTAAGGCACTTATTTAGAAAGACTCCTGCAGTGACCACCCGAGGGTGCTGGGTAAAACGTGGAAGGAGGACCTCCCTCACTGGACAGCTGGGACAGAGCTGAATGTGGGAGCTCTGAGGACGCTATCTTCTGCGTGGGAGGCAGTGAGCCTCCTGTGACTCTTGTCCTCTGGCTGAGAAGATGAAGTAGATGCTCTGCCCCAAGGTCACACATAGCAGGACAGCAGGAGGCCTGCACCTCTGGAACATTAGTATACCCTGTCCTCTGTGAAACAGCACTTTTTAAGAACCTTTTTCCTTTCATAAAATTTTTTTCTTGTTTATAAAAGTGTACACATGCATTGTGCAAATTTAGATAACGAATAAGGCTATAAAGACAGATGCCAGGCATGGTGGTGGACATCTAATCCCAGCATTATGGGAGGCTGAGGCAGGAGGATCCATGCTCAAGTACACCTGGGAAACTCAGTGAGACCATATCTTTAAA